TGACAAGGGATTATTCCCCCGTGTTCAAGAATGATTGTCGGTCGACGTAGGCGTCCTGGTACGCATTTCCATCTCGTGCTCCTCCTCGACCTTCTTTAACAAGACGTATTTATACAGAACCGTCAGCGATAACGAAACTAAAAAGGCACTTCCGACCATCACCGTGGTGACCAGAGCCATGATAGACCAAGTGGCTGATTGCGCGGTGTATACATTGATCAATGTTGTAGCGAGGCCCGCAGCTGCATTCATCGCAACCGGCCTAAACTCCAATCAGCTTTCATACGGAACAATGGGTGTACAGATACATAGCTGGGTCTGCGTACATAAATACCCGACCGACGAGCCAAATGTAATTGCTGCGCCATGTCCAGCAAAGCCATGTCAGAAGCGTAGTCCCTACTGCGAAGAACACACAGGCAATCGCGAGGAGGGGCGGGTTCTGAATATTATTCAACACGGCCTTGTTAGCACCGTTGTCAATTAGAGCCTGCTTGAGTTTTTCCGACGTCTGCAAGGAGGTAAATGTTCCAGGAATCACTAGATATCCCGCAAGGAGCACCCAGTGTGCGACGCTGGCAATGATGTTGTAGACCCACGGCATATGGTCGACTTCCAACAGCATCTCTATATAGCGAGTGTGCCCGGCAATGGACGCCGGACTCGAGGCGGACACTGTGACTGAGTTTGCCGGAGAAGCCGTGCGGGAGTTCATGGCCGCGAGAATCGTTAGCCGCTCCGATATGTCGCACCCGGCATCACCGTATCTTAAATACCTTTGGAGTATACCTTCCCATATTACAGTTGAAAGCAGCATATGGTAAGTGGACAAAACACCAAAGCGGCGGCATGGAGATATTGCTGCCGCGAGGGCTGACCGGCAGTGGCGTTGTGATCAGCCATACCGCCACATTCTTGCCTTGGGTCCCAAAATCTACGGTGATACAGTAGTTCTTACAGTACTGTGCTGTGAGCGAATCCCTCATTTCCTTGACTGCTTGCTTTAACATCCTGTATTCTATAAATGAGAGAATAGTTCGTATCCTCGAGTTGTAAAGTAAGAGTAGCCCAAGGGGTTGCGGACCGATGAGCATAGCAGCCAGCTGAAAAGAACACGGGGACATGGCTGATTTTGACAGATAGCGATAGTACGGTAGTTGTCTGCATATCACCGCTAGGGACGAGGATTTAGCGGACGATTACTTGTCGAACTAACTGATCCACAACATCATATTCTACTACGTCTGTCAAGTTAAGTTCGTACAGTACCAGTTCGATGGATGGCTCATGCGCGTGCAGGTTAGCAGCGAAAGCCGTACTTCTGTCGAAGTTGGACGATTCCGGGTTACCAGAATTGGTGGTAAATCTGTACCATAACTTGCAATGCTGTGAAAGCCTTGAGCATGAACTTTTCAATATACGTTATGACTCTGGTTCGACTAGTCAACCGCATGTATAATAACTGCGACTCTGTGTTATGTAGCAGGATTGAGCAAGGACGGTGAAGCCAGTCAGGTTGAGCAACTGCCGCGTTCTCTGGTGACAAGGCACTTCCCTTCGGTAGAGCATCATGGTCCGGGGCGACTACAATTTCGGATAGAATTAACAGCTCCACATTCAAAACTGTCGAATAGTTTAACCTATGACGTATCTAAATTCGTATAGAGCTCTCAACGAACGAAGGACAAGAACACGGAGCACGTCGTGCTCTCATCGCACTTCGTCTCTTATCATGGCCGCATCCACTTGCCAAAAAGCACCATCTGACAAATGATGGGGCATTAGATGTAATCAATGACCTTGTCTGAACGGCTGACGATCCCGTTTAAACGGGCCCTTGTTGCTCTTTGCAGCTTCGCCGCCTCCGACCCCGCTCTGCCACCCTCCCATTTCCTCCCCAAGGTTGATGAGTGAAGATCTCTTAATCCACGTGCAGAAATTACAGTAACTGTAACTCACCTCACGCTGCGGTGTTATCATCAGCCAGATACTATAAATAATATCAATTTCCATGAATAATATATTAGGAAGATATTGAATACCAGGGAAGTATATGCTCTCCAGCCAGCGGCGGTACACGGGTAAAGGTGGTAGACATTTGTGAAGGTATTGAGCATTTCAAAAGGGCTCCCTTCGATTACATTCGATTACAAGTTCAGGTGTAGCTCTGTAGGTCAACTGCGCTGGGAAGAGCGGTTTTCTGTTGATAGATGTTGTTGACCACCGAGCGCAGCTAATCCTGAGAATGCAGCGTTGCCGAATCTACCTACTATTGATCGTCAAAAAATCTCCGTGTTTACATTTAAACCCTGCCTCACTGACCACGGCTGAAGATGCAAATAAAAAAAAAAGTTGGCCATCCCATTCGGAAACTGAGGATGCTACTCAAAGGCGAGACCAAGAAATGGTGTTCCTCCGATTGAATAATTCCGAGTTTGTGGCGTACATCTCTCGGAATATTGAATGATTTCCGGCAAACTTATATAAAGCGCATTTTCGAAGCAACACTCGTTCTCTCTCTTTCCATCATCATCATCACGAAGCAGCAAATCCGCTCAGCGGATCTCATTCTCGAATTTGACCGGCTGAGGAACGATTACATCCTAGAGGCGGACAAGAATTCGAAGTGTAATCCTTTAGCTGGTTGACACAACCTTCTCGTGGATCTGAAGGTGGCGTCCCGTCCGTTGTCCACGTGGGTGTGCAATCGGGCAACTTGAGAGTCCAATATCGTTGCCACTCCCCGTCAGCGGTAGCTGCCCGTGGGTTCGTCCGCCTACGTGACCCGGTCTCACCATGGTTGATTTGGTGAGGCATTGATGGGCGAGGTCTGCGACAAACTTGCACAGCTGCCGGCCAAAGCACCATAGGTATTTCCCGTCCCAGAACGGTCAAATGACCAACTCAACTTACTCAGATCTACACCCCGTTCGTTTAGCCTGGGTTCCCTGAAACAGACCCACTCGTCCCATAGTTCGATGTGCTCTTCCTTGAACATCGCATCCGGTGGTGTTCGTCTGGAAAGATAACCCTGGGTAACGGGCATGTGGGCAGCGGGCTACGTGCGTGGGCTACGAGGGACCGTTGCATCGGTAGGACGGCATTGACCAGGCAAGATGTCATGGATCATGAATCCTCCCACTTAAGTGTTTCTTGGTCTGCCCTCCTCTTTCATTAGCCTGGCGTGCTGGTACGTCTTCCGTACAGCGAAATACACCTGGGCCTTGCGGTCGCACGATCCCGCCCGTCCCACGAATGCAGTCCTCCCGCTTCGACCACGTTACTGAATCCTTGCTCCCATGGCCAAGAGACGCTATCGGGCCTGGACGCCCAGCGAGGAAGATGAGTATCCTTCATGGATAGCTCGCAATCTCCATTTGACGTGGCCACAGAGGGCGAAAAAGTACTCCATCAAGCGCAAACCCCGTTCGAAAGAATCTCTATGAACCAAGTATCGGCTTCCGCAGAGGGATGTTAGACGGCACCGCCCTCCGCTTCGCAAGTCCTCCTCGCGGCGCACGCGTCGAATCCCCAGGCCACCGGTTCATGACCGGCGAGGGGCTTGGCTCAGTCGTGTCTCGATCAGCACCCCCACCCCTTCCGAGTACAGTCCAGGCGGGAGCCCACGACCGATGCACGTGAGGCGACCAGCCCCTGCACGCGTCGCCGGTCCGCGGCACGACGGCCAGACAGCGCGGATAGTCAGGGTCGGCAAGCGATTATCAAGACCCCAACTGGACGCGAGACAGGCAGGGATGCGACTCGTTGGCAAGTTGAGCGTTCGTTGAACCACCTCGGTAGTTCTTAGCACTTGCAAGCTGCCTTATAGTTCCCCGGTTGGTCAAAGCTCCTTCCCTGCCAGTCTCAGATAATCAGCAATTAACCAGAGCCACGAAGACTCTTGCCAAGTCCGCGCAATCCAAGCTCTAAGGAAGGGGGGTGGGGGTGGTTTCCCGACTGTTGTAGTTCAAGAGAAGCTTGATTATTATTATTCAGAGGGAAACATGAGGCTATATATACAACGAGAAGATCAACTTGATTGGAAATCAAGTTGATTCTTCGTATACATACTTCGGGATAAATTCCGATGGTTCGGCTTGGTTCCTGATCCACACCAGCCTCATATTACAACATCGATCATAATTTCTTTTCCCCCTCATAGTACGGTATTGGCGCCAAACCCTTCGTTCCAAAGGCTTTTGCGCGTTACCCAGTGAACTTTGTCCTGTGATGGCTGCGATGGGTAATTAAAAGCCTAACCAATGAACCGTAAGGATTTGCTGGATAATACACCAGTGGTCATCCCGAGGGCGTGAGAGAAATGCCAAAACTGTAAGGGCGGACTGAGGCTCGGACGTACCCGTAAGCATATAAAACCGGCAAGCTACATCTTTGCGGCCGGTAGCTCCTCTGTCAGAAACACCACACCCCTTTCAGCATGGCACATCATCCCAAGAGTCGTCCACGGACTCTTTGATTGGGCAAGGATGCAGCAACCAGACCCGCCCTTGCCTCAGCTGGAGCCGGAGCGTCTCGACGATCGGCCGAACTAGACATTAGAGGAACGTCAAAGCCAACCCCACCTACAAATGATAGTCGCAAAGCGCTCTCAACCCTGAACTGCTGTGAGCAGGACCCGTGGGATGTGTACGTACCACGAGCCAGGGTTCGTCGCGGACAACAAATCACCCTGGCCCAGCGTCGAAAGCACAAACGGATAATCGTGAACATCCAATGCTTTTCCATGGATCAATCCCAGAGATCCAAGGCCTTCTAGAGATTATAAGTCAACTTTCTCATTCTATATTTCCACGTCTTCTGAAGTCGTACTACGATACGAACCAGCTATATCTCGTATGAGAGCCGATGGAGATCACGGTGGACAATATTTTAACCGCTCCGTGGCCGGTCAACGAGACCGAACTGGCGTGCGTTCTCCGGTCGGTGAGTGCCACTGGCGGCCATCGGACGATCTCAAGACTATGGATACTGAGGAAAACAGACCCTGGATGGAATACGATTCCTGCGTGATCAGGGAAGAGCCTTGGCCACTCTGGGGCCGGACACGGTCTGGCTGAGCAAAAGGGGGCAGGTCCGCCTAGGTAAGTCGGTCCCTCCCATTATCGTCATCGAGAGTATGGTCCACTAACCTTGCATACTAGCCAGTGTAGAACAGAGCTACCAGATCAAAACGTCTGACATGAATGCCGACACACTGAAATCAACCGCCCTGGCAACGGTCATGAGGAGTCTGATGGCTACAAGTGCAGGACAGGGAAGGTGGAGCTCCGAGGCCCAACTCCCCTGGAAAACCTGCCCGTCAAGTCACTGGATGTGTCAATGAAGGCAAGTTAGTAGCGAGTCGATAGAGCGGCTGTTGTTAACAAGATTTTATCATTCCTCGAAAAGGCAACCGACGAGTGCGACCTGAAGCTATGCGTCCACGTCGCAAACAAGAAGGCCAAATACGATCTCGTAGTTTTGTAATGTCGATGGCATGCATCATATTACAGAGCATATCGCTGGGTGAAGCTTTCGCAGCCAATGCTTATAGGGGCTGCAGGCTGGAAGATAACATCATTAACGTCCTTCGCGTGGTTCGGCCCCTACCCTTCCCAACCACTCGGATCATGTTTTGAATCCTTAAAGTGACGATGGCGCCCTCTTCCGTTTATTCGTTCTGTTTCGGGTATACAGTACACTACGAAGCACTTGGTTGGAACAATTGCCAGAGTTTGACTTGTCAGATGTATTGTGCCTAGGCTAGTGGTGCGGAGATAGGCATGCTAGGCTAGATACTAGGGAGGCACGCGCTTTGAAAATCTTTACACGAGCTATCTGCAACCCTGGTCCAAAAGCCTCCATAATACAACTGCATATTTGATGCTACTGCATTGACATCCACCTATGTTGTAGACGGCGTCGCAAGCTTCCCTAGTGGCCTTGCCCTGGCAAGAGTGCCCTCGCGCCGAACTTGGACTTCGTGGAAAATGGTTTCGTTCACCAACTCTACCAGTAACTTCAGGCTTCCCTCCTCGGTCACTTGTCCAAAAAAGGCGTGCTTTCTGGTCAGCAGCCACATCGTACGACGAAGCTGGAATATGAACCAACTTACCTGCAATAGATTGTCCAGACACCGCGCGGAGTTGCTCTTGGCCAGCGCCGATTCAAAGCTTTGCATCTCCTGGCTCCAGGTGAATTTGGATCCATTATTTTGCATGATCTTATCGAGAATCGACCGGAGAGCATTGAAAGTAGAAGCCATTGCGTCGACACGGGAAGGGTCGACTTGGTCGATTTGGCGACTGTTCTCAATACCCGCTATACCTCACTTGATGTCAGTGTTGTACAGTCTGCAGTTGGGACAAACGTACCGATCTTTATTTCACCCTCTTCGGTGAACAAGATATCTCGAGGAGTGAGGCTGGCTAGCTCCCTCGACTGGCCGTGTAAGAACTGAAGGCACTTTAACACCTGTGAACTGTGTATGAACATCGTGCATCTAGTAGGAAGGGAACAGCACCTACGGGCAACAAGATCTGGACCACTTCACTTTCGGCGATGTGGCAACTCAACGCTAAAGCCTGCTGGAGAGTGCACTC